AAAATGCATTTTGCTCAAAAGGAAGGCTTACCCTGAGAAACAATAAAAGTATCCCTTCACAGCTATAATTTATTCATTTTCCTTTCTGTTTTGCTCATTTTATCTTCATATAAAAATGGGAAAATACATGAAAAGAAAAAATAAAAATGAAATTTAAAAAATTATAAAATTGATATTTGCAGAGCAAATTATATTTTTCCAAGAAAAATGAAATTGTGCTTGTTTTCAGATGAGACTTTACTGCAATTGTTCGGCTGTGGCACCATAGTCAATAAACTAAAGAGAGAGTATAAACAGAGAGATAGTCAACATAAAGATACATATTTTACTAACAAAGCATAGAAGTTTTAGTAAGTTCTTGATGAACAGACAAATCGGCCCCAAGTCATGATTTATTTGTTCAGTTTGTTCACCTCGTGTTTGCCTCTTGTCTTCTATGTACCAGACACTGTCACATGTCCATTGGGTGTGAGTTAAAGATTCCTATCTGCCCAGGGCCTGGATTCTAGTTGGAGTATAATTTTGTGTAAGTTTTGTCTCTGGCTTGCTTCACATCTTCATATTTTTCTTTTTTTGTAAAGTATGACTTAAAGGATCAATAGGTAACATTTTTTGTGAATTTCAAAATGTTCCAGTTACTGTTTTAATATGCTATATAGTGTTCATTTAGCATCAGATAATTACTTCCAGCATGATATTAATGTTTTGGACACCATCTGGGTTTTAGATACATCTGCTCTGCAAATCGGGATGAATCATTTAATTTGATGAGGTTGGAATCAAATCTGAATCAATTGGGCTATTTCAAGAGAGAAGAAAAGCCGCAGCTTTTTTGGGACAATGGACTAGTCTCAATTGCCATAGTCAGCTTTAGGCTCAGTTTCTCTTCCGTGATTTAAATTCCAGCATATAGCTAATTCTGCCAAAGTAATAGCCACCTTTATTAGTTATTATGTTGTGATTTTTTTTGGTAGGGTTTATGTATTTGAAAGGCAGAATATGAGAGAGAACGAGTGAGGGAGCAAGCCTCCAACTGCTGGTTCATCCTGCCAGTGGCTGCAGCAGCCTGTTGTGGGCCAGGCTGAAGCTAGGAGCCAGGAAGTGTATCCCTGGTCTCGCTCGTGAATGGCGGGGACCCAAGTACTTGGGGTGTCACCTGCTGCCTCCCTAGATACATTAGCAAGAAGCTGGATTGGAAATGGTCGAGCATCGGGGCTTGAAGTGGCACCCCAGCATGGGATGTGGGTGCCTGCCGTGCCGTGCCAGCCACCAGTGATGTTGTTTTTTACTTCCTTTTGTTTTCTGTAAGGTTAATAGTTAGAAAATCTGTGGCATCCCTTTCCTTCCAAGGATTTGTAGTTTTTCATACTCCTTGTTTACTTATTCACGTTTGAACCTGTAGAGGAGAAAGTGTGGGTATTTCTAATCTAAAGTAAGAAATCAACAGTAAATTGAGATCTTTGACAGGGATTTGAATGCTTGGGATAAGTTATGTAACTGAATTTGGTATCACTTGAAAATGAAAATCAGTGAACTTTCCAGTAGATACTGGTGCTTATAAGTTCTGGTATTGATACTGTGTGTGTGTTTTCCGCCTGGGTGAAAACCACTCTTTGGCTTTCTTGCTTGCTTGCTTTCTTGGGGCACCATGTGATGTACCAATACATGTACACACCATGTAATACTCAAATTCTCATTTGTTTGATGGTGAAGCTGTTCAAAAGCCTTTCTTCCAGCTTTTTGGAAAAATATGCCATATATTACTGTTCCCTGTAGCCACCATACTGTAATTCTCTTTAAAGAATTAGTAGTTTTTACACAGCTGTCATCACTCACAAACAGCCATTCCCTGTGCCGAGTGTGCATGCGGCGCTGTGTCAGAAGCTGTGTGTGATGTGTTTAGGCGAGTAGGACACAGCTGCTGTCCTGAAGGAGCCTGTCACGTCCACACCTTTAAAATTATTCCTGAAGTGTGATAGGTCTCTGCAGGTTCAGGGAGTTAAATTCCCTGGAATAATACTGCCAGTCTCTGATAGAACAGTGGCTAAGCCCATGTACTTTGAAAATCAAGAAAACTTTTCCCACTCTTGTTAGTATTCTTTTCCACATGGAAATGTGGTAAATGTCTTGATTTTCCTACCTGTATATACTATGGGATTATTAATTCTGTGTGTGTACTGTAAGTGGTTTCAAATACGTTAGAAGGCCAGGCATTTGGGTCAGCAGTGGACCCACCTCTTGGGAACATGCATCCCTTATCAGAGTTCCTGGATTTGATTCCCAGCTGCACTCCCAATTGTATCTTTCTGTTAATGTGAATTGTGGGAGGCAGCAAGTGACGACTTAAGTGGTTTAACCTCTGACTCCTGTGAGGGAGTCATGTGTTGAACTCCTGGGTCCCAGCTCAGCCTGCCCCAGCCTTGCCTGTTGCAGGGGAGAGGCTGTGTGTTGTGGCATGTAGGGTCTCCTAATGTCCACCATCTACCTGTTTTTCTACTTCTCTACGGTACCTTACTCTTTTTTTTTTTTTTTAAGATTTATTTATTTATTTGCAAGACAATTAGAGAGGTCTTCATCTGCTGGTTTACTTCCCAGATGGCCACAATGGCTGGAGCTGCACCGATCCAAAGTGAGGAGTCAGGAGCTTCTTCTTGGTCTACCACATGGGTGCAGAGGCCCAAGGACTTGGGCCATCTCCCACTGCTTTCCCAGGCTATAGCAGAGAGCTGGATTGGAAGTAGAACAGCCAGGACTCAAACTGGCGGCCATACGGGATGCTGCACTACAGGCAGCGCTTTACCTGCTACACCACAGCACTGGCACCAGTTCACCTTACTCTTTATTCCATCTCCTGTACTGGTTATGCTTGTTTCTTTGAGCTTCCCCGTGTAAGTGGTGAGCCCTGGGGCAGGGTCTGGGAACCTGTTCTTTATTGGATACACCCGTAGTGTGTGCTTACTGAGAGAATGTCTTCTACATCAGACTGAGCTGCCTGAGAATGGACTTTGTTTCCCCCACCTACATAGCCTTGCCTTTGTGTTCCTGGTTTAGATGTTTGGATACAAATAGCCAAATGGGGCTCAGATGAGATGTTTTCTCTGTATAAGAAGCCGGTTAGTTTCACAGAGCTTTTCCTTAGCTGCTAACCACAGCTTTGGCCTTTCACATTTGGAGGAGGTGAATATGTGGTGTACAAATCAACAGCTAGAAGGAAACATACAACCTGTCTCCCTCATTAATAAAGAATATTATTTCATCTGATTAATGTACCAGTCCTCTACAGGATATAGTCTACTGAAATGACAACTGAGTATTTAAATTGTGGGATGCTTGGATGTATTTAAATTGTGGCAAATGCAGTTGAAAGCAGTTCTTTGCATTAAACCAAACAGTTCTGTCATCCCTGTTCCAAAAAATGAATGGCATTTTTCTCTTGACAGAAGATCCTGTGGTTGTTCCAAGGGAGCTGTCTATAACTATATCATTCTTTAAAGTTTGTGAATTCTATCAAATAGTAACTCATATTTCTTCCCTAAGGGAAAACAGAGATTTATATCATCACTTCACAGTTTAAAAGGATCATATATTGGTGCTCTATATAAGTCAATCATTATGGATTCTTTAGAAAATATATGTTGTTCAAATCTAGGCCTAAAATAGATGTGGTACCCAGTTCCTTATATTTTGATCACAACCCAGTTAGGGTTTTTTTTTCCTTTACTAGTGTCCTGGTATTTCTGTAACTTCAGAGTGATGAATAGTGAATTGGAAGAGTATGATTATCATCAGAGTCTTAACATGTGCAAAATAGAGTTTTTGAAAATATTTTTATCTTAGTTTAAAAAAAAAATGCCTGCCAATTTATTTAGCGTCTTTAATGCGTGTTGTTTCCAACCAAGTCAATGTATTTTCAAAACAGAGGTTAAGAGATTTGGCTTCTTTTTCTTTCTTGGTGAGTGTTCCAATGGTCTGTTTTCTATAAGATGTGTCTGTTTCAGCTTACCATTTTGATTATGAGTAGTTAATTACCCAGATAGAGCTTTAAAAATAGAATATTGGTGGAGGAATTCCTGTGTATATGGTTTAGTACATATTTTAGAAGGATTTAGTATTTATAAATGGCATGTAAGTTTTTATTGGTACCACGTTAGTATAACATAAATAAAGCTTTTTTTTTTTTTTTTTTTTTAAGAAAAAAAAAAGGGAAAGAAAAGGCTGATAATATTCTAAGCATCTGCAGCCAGGAAGTCCGTGTGTGGAATATCTTCAAGTGTCGTCTTGGCTCTTGTTGCCCCAGTGGTAACATCTTGATATTTAACTTCCTTAGCTCCCAGCGTTGATTCTACCCACGCAGGTTTGTCCAGTCTCTCAGGCCTTCTTACTTGCTAGGAATACGGCCTAGCGATTCTGACTGCCACACTTTGACTTGTACCTTTGCACAGGAGGGGCGTGACCTTCCCGGGAGGGGCAGCTCTGGTGCCTTTGAAGTTACGCAGAGTCTCCATCTGCTTTTACTTGACTTGTGGTCTTGAAGATCATACTTGGCCCCTGGGATCCTGCAGTGTGCCGAGAGGATGTGGAGTTTTGTCAGCCAGTGAAATATGTCTGGCTTTTTTCTCTTTTTTCTTTCTCTTTTTTTTCTTTTTCAGCAGCTTTCATATTCCCTTCGTCCTGTGTGGTCCCCACTGAGCTGAACTTAGATTTAAGAGAGCGACTCACTCCCTTTATCATCTTCTATGACTGGGCCCTTTTTTTCAAGGGGAAGGTGTGTGGAACGAGCATCGGAGCCAGAAACGCTGAAATATTGGCAGTCGGCAAGGCGGCCGCTGGGAGTGTCCAGCAGCTCTGTAGATGAAGGTGCTTCGCTGTGCACAGCAGGGTGTTCTGTCACGCACGAGAGTGCTGCCTTTCACAGGCACACCACTGGCAAAACAGCCTGCTGCCAACAGCAGTCCCCACGCACTGGCTGTGGTCCAAGTGACTTCTTTGCTTGTTTTTAGGCGCTGCTGCAGTCTTCAGTTAAGCAACAAGTGGAAGCTATTGAAAAACAGTACATTTCCGCCATTGAGAAGCAAGCACACAGGTGTGAGGAGTTGCTGAATGCCCAGGTAACACAAGAACACATCTATTATGCATTTATGCTGTTCCTCTGGCTCCCCTCCCCTGAGAGCTTTATAACTGTTGATTCAGTTTCGTGCCATTTACTTTCCTTGGTGTATTTTGGAGGAAAAAAATGTGCTTATGTAAACCCAAAGTTTGAGAATTTTATGATAGACTCAAAATAGAACGAAGGGCTGAAAATACTTGAAAGTTGGTCTCGCTCAACTTAATCATTATTCTTATGTTAATTTCCGGCTTATAGTAACATCCATCCATGAAATAACAGAAGCACAGAGGTAAGTATGACTGCATTGCAGCATGAGAGTGAGTTCCCATGACAAAAGATTTCTGAATATCACGTCAGTTTTTAAAGTCTTCATGTTTGAGTTACTTTCACTCCATGTAGATACTGGTTTCTTGTTGAATTTTCTGTTGACTTTTTTTTTTCTTTTCTTGATTGAATGTCTGAAAAGGCTTACATATTCACCTTTTTTTTTTTTTTTTCAAAGATTTATTTGTTTACTTGAAAGGGGGAGTTAGAGGGAAAGAGATGTCTCCCATCTGTTGGTTCACTCCCCAGATGGCCTCATAGGCCAGGGCTGGGCCAAGCCAAAGCCAGACACCAGGAGCTTCTTGCAGGTCTCCTACATGAGTACAGAGGCTAAAACACTTGGGCCATCTTCTGCTGCTTTCCCAGGCGCATGAGCAGGGAGCTGGATCAGAAGTGGGACAGCGGGCCCTGGACCAGCTCCAGTACAGGATGCCAGTGGCGCAGGCAGTGGCTCCACTTGGTACGACACAACGTCGGTCCCCAGCCTTTTTACATGGAGCAATCATGTGAAGGGAATTTATGGCCTTGTCAACTCTATATAAATAACATATGCAAGAAGTTCCTTATAACACTTTAAAATAATATAAAACTTGGAAGGTAAAAATTAAAACATTATTTAAATGAACTCTTATTGGATGGCAAGAAATTCACTAAATTAGGGAACAGCGGCCAGCGCTGTGGCGCAGTGGGTTAAAGCACTGGTTCAAGTCCCGGCTGCTCCACTTCCGATCCAGCTCTCTGCTCTGGCCTGGGAAAGCAGTAGAAGATGGCCCGAGTCCTTGTACTGCTGTATCTACGTGTGAAACCCGGAAGAAGCTCCTGGCTCCTGGCCTTGGATCAGCTCAGCTCTGGCTGTTGTAGTCATTTTGGGGCGTGAACCAGTGGAATGGAAAACCTTTCTATCTCTAGCTCTACCTCTCTCTATAACTCTTTGAAATAAACAAAATAATTAAAAAAAAGAATTAGGGAACAAAATTAAGAAAGAATTTAAGTGGAGATTTATAAATACACTACCTTGCCATCAAGATTGGGATTAGTATGGTTAAATTTTTAAATGTCCTTTTAATAAATACCTTTGATGTCTTTTTTCTTTTTTAAAGATTTTATTTATTTTGGAGGTAGAGTTAGAAATCGAGAGAGGGAGAGACAGAGAGAGAAAGGTCTTCCATTCGCTGCTTCATTCCCCAGATGGCTACAACAGCCAGAGCTGAGTCGATCAGGAGCCAGGAGCTTCTTTGGGGTCTCCCACGTGGAGTGCAGGGGCCCAAGCACTTGGGCTGTCCTTTACTGCTTTCCCACGCCATACCAGAGAGCTGGATTGGAAGAGGAGCAGCTGGGACATGAACTGGTGCCCATATGGGATTCCAGTGTTGCAGGCAGAGACTTCTCCCACTATGCTATAGCTCTGGCCCCAGTAAATGTCTTGGAAGAGGAAATACATAGAGAATTTTATGAATTTGATGTAATAAACTATTTAGGATACTTAAATGCTAGGCTGTCACACATATGAACTATGTAACTTTATGAATGAATGGCAAAAATCACAGAGAAGAATTAAAGGTCACAGAACAGTGAATCCGCATAAGGCCGTGTTGGCCTGGGTGGGCTGGGTTCTTCTTCAAGCCCTCTGGCTCCAGCCACTGAAGTTTCTTTCTATTTTATTCATGCCACATACAAGAGGGTCTCCAAAACAATTATGAAAATGTGTATTAAGAAAAACTGTGCATGGGTTCAAAAAATTTTTTTGCACCTGAATAGACTTAATTGATTTTCTGTGAAATTTTTAAAGACTTTTAAAGACTTTTTTGTACATCAAAGGTTGATCTGGGACTCGAGCTCTTGTTCTCACCCTGGGATATATACTCAGAGTGTCAGTGCTGTGCGGAATGTTTCCTGTTATTTCTACAGCACGTCGGAGATGTCTCTTAGGTTTCATTTCAGAGATGAAATCCTTTGGCTTAGAAATGACTCTCTGAGTGCTGTTCTGTATCGACATGGTCAGCTCAAATAATGGGGGCGCCTGGTGAGCTCCTGCCAGAACCTGAAAGGGCAGAACCAGGGAATGGTTGGAGAGCAGCACGAACGTGCATGCTCTGCTCTTTGAGCACCACATATTTGACGTCTCCATCTCACGGAGAAGTTTACACCTGCCATCTCCACGGGGAGAATCTGGAAGTGTATGCAGCCATGGAGTCACACTCAAGAGTCCGGGATCGTCCCTGATGTGGACTCATGCGCTGCCGTCTCTGTGCTGTCAGGCCACTTCTGTCCTGGAGAAGTAGAAACTAAAGTCAGAGTCGTGCGCCCCTGCTGTGTCTGGTGTGCAGTGGTGAGGCAGAGGGGAACACACCAGGTGGAAGGCTGAACCACTGACGGAGGAAATGGAAGTCTTTCCTGGGGTGGGGGTTGCTCTTTGATTTTCCCTGCTTATCTTTTGGGTTTCAGGACTGGATCCCTACTCCATTGTTCCATAAGGTTTTATGTTTCTAGGCTATTTGTTGCTTACAGGTAATAGGAACAGGAGATGAGACCATTTCTCAGCCTGCTTCCTGTCTGTAGAAAATCGAGGGCTCCAGGTCCTTGTAGGTGGCACGTGCTGTGAGCTCAGTGGAGTGGTTCTGCTGGCTTCCTAGCTACCTGTTGGTCACAGGCACACTCACAGTTGTTTTGGAGACCTCCTTCCTCATTTGACATTTTCCTGTGTTTTTCTAATAGTTGCTTATCTGCATCTGTCTTCTCATTTGTGGATGACTTAATTCCATCAAACCTGGGAGAGGGAGGGGGCGGGAAGCCATGTGGCCTCTGTTCCTCTGGCTATCTAGTCCACATGAAGTGTCCCAGGCAGCTACAGCTTTGTGGGGTCTTTGCTTGGAGACACTAGAATCCTTGGGGTTTCTAACAGAGTGTGTGACTCACACCGCGTGGTTTAGTAGTGCTCGTAAGGCAGAGCGTGGTTGATCTTTGTTGCTGGAAGCCTTCTCCCTTGTATCTTACCCAAGTTGAGGTTGAGAAATGGTTGTCCACACAAGGAGCTACTTTCTTAAACTTTACTCTTGCTTCTGATTTGATGCTTGTAAGTTGTCTTTTTCCTGGGCTTTCAATTGCTGATCTTGTCTTTTTTGTGTATAATGCCTGTCAAAATCAGCCAAAAACAGAGATATTAAAATAGATTCAACCAAGTTGCAGGGTAAATGTTGAATTTACAAAATAACTTGGGTATATGTGTACCAGCAGCAATGGATAATTGGACTAGAAGTTAAGAAATCAATACCATTTATAATAGCATGTAAAAAAAATCCCTGGGAATAAATTTAACAAAGATGATTATAAATTAAAAAAAAACTTGTTTACTGACAACTGTAAAGTATTGGTAAAGGAAATTAAAAGTTATTTAAATAAATGGAATAATATTCCCTGTTGACTTTAAAATATCTGATGACAAGCACTCAGAATCAGGGAAACATTTGTAAGATCACAGCAGTACTGTAGCTTTTGATGCAATGCTGTTTAGAAAGCAAAGCTTAGAGGCTGGTGCTGTTGACAGTGGGTTAGGCCCTTGCCTGAGGTGCTGGCCTCCCATGTGGGTACTGATTCAAGTCAAGACTGCTCCATTTCCAATCCAGCTCCCTGCTAATGTGTCTGGGAAAGCAGCGGAGGATGGCCCAAGTGCTTGGGGCCCTGCACTCACGTGGCAGACAGGCAGAAATCTTCTGGGCCCTGGCTTTGGCCTGGCCCAGCCATGGCTATTGTAGGCATTTGGGGGTGTACCAGTGGATGGAAGATCTCTCTCTCTCTGTCTTTCTCTCTCTTCCTCCTTCCCTCCCTCTGTCCTTCTTTCTGTCTCTCCTTCTCTATCTCTGTGACTCTGCCTTTCAAATAAATAAATAAATTTGTATAAGACATCTCTCTTTAAAATTAAGTAGTAAAGGAAAAATAGAGTACATAGACTCGTATGTTCAGGAGTCAAACCTTGTGAGTTTACCCCCAGTTTTGTTTTTAACCATGTTAATTGGGCTAAGTCTCTTAACCTTTCTGTGCCTCCTTTTTCTCATCTATACACTGGATACACAAGCTATTCTTCCCTTACTGAGTTTTTGGGAGCCTTAAGTAACATCAGATTTGCATCTTACTGGCTGCCTTACTGTCTTTTTTCATATTCTTGACCAACTGGAATCAGAGCCAGGACTCAGGTGTTGTAATCTCTGTAGAACAAAGACTGATTCTTGTAAGTTTATATTGTGTCTTGTGATTGATTGCAGTACTGGTTATCGAGAGCATTTGGAGAAAGGACCAGTGCATGGACAATCTTTCTGTTTGTCTCTGTCTCCCTGTCTCTTGTATCTATGTCTTTCAAATAAAATGAAAACTAATCAATACAAATTAAAAGAAAATATACTAAACCTTAAAAATGCAGAATAAACAAGTTAGACTCGTAAATGATTGTTGCATATGGCATAAAAGAAGTGTAATCTTTTAAAATTGTTACTACTGTAAAGAGAACAGATTTCGTGTATTTCATACATATAATTCAAAGAACATAAGCATTTTTCCTTCCCTCTCCTCTCTTCCTTTTGTTTTTGCTTTAATTGTTTAAAATACATAATTTCACTCCACTTTGTAATCTCAGACTTGGTGTACCACTAATCCTAACTTTCAGCAAGTAAAAATCAGGAAGAC